AGGTGTATATAGGACTCATAGGCATATAAGAAGATATTGTATCTGGTCCCAAAATAGGCCTGTTTAAGTATATGTGTAGATAAAAGATATAAAAGAAGGACCTAATTTTGTCTAGAGACATTTCTTCCAAATGTTAATCCTCTAATATTCTCCAATTGGATATGAATAGCATGAAGGTAAAGAGTTTGATTGGTATTTTTAATTGAAATTTAGACCCCAGTGTTGATAATAAAATTATTTAAATTAGACCAAATTGGGATAAAAACAAAGAGTTTACTTAATGAACATAAATCAAACGAATAGATGTCAACCTAACAAGCAATAAGATTGTTTTAGTGGAATAAAAAAAATTATATAAATGTAAAATGGATTACTCTTTCAATGTTCTGTCTATGAATTTTCCAACCTGTTTAAGAGAAATTGTCAAAATTGGTCCCAAATTTCAAATTAATTTCTTCGTAAATTAGACCAACACCCGGATATAGAGAAACCCGGATATAAGAAATATGTCACTGGTTAAATTAGAGCGAATTAACAATGTATAAGAATTTGAATGAAACCTGGATATAATTGATTGGGGTTGTTATAACTTCTTCCTTTAATGTCGTTCTTATCATTCACCCCTTAGCCATCTATATCTAGAGACGAGACGCGTTAAATTTGAGCAACATCTAGCTGACATACTGGGGTTAAAATAGGAAACTGAAATCCCAAATGACACACTCATATCCTCTCTCCCACCTCACTCCCAACTTGGATAATTTTACGTATACTTGATGAGGTAAGTGGATTTCTTTTCATTCCCAAATTTCAGCTTTTTGAAGTAAAGTCTGATGATCCAGAACCCTGTTAAAGGGGTTATGGTGAAATAGCTTATTACATGGAATCTTAACGTGGTCTGTTTTATTCAAACATATCTGCCTGAATTTTCCATTGAGCTCTTTGGATATCATCCTCCTCAGCTCTTCCCATACGGAGAAAGTTTGCATAAACTAGAGATTATATATATATATAAATATATATATATATATATATATAGTCGGTCACACACATATATATATATATATATATATATATATATATATAGTCGGTCTGATGAGAGGAATATTTTTATATTCATTGAAATAAATGACTATGGATTTTAATTTTTTTCCTAATTATTCTTATAATTTGCCTATATCATACATTGAGTTCTCATATGGACTGAAAAGTCCTCTTTAGAATAATCCCTACCAATTACAATTTGGTATTTTATATATATATATATATATATATATATATTATTGAAACTAAACTTAGTATGGTTCATAAATGACCAATTTATTTTCGTTTGCTTTGGCTTGGCACCGTAAATGAGAAAGTCGCCAAACAAATTACCTTTGCAGTAGAGCATTGTTATTTCTCTTCTAGTGTGCGTGTAGTGTTTTCTACTAAATCTGTTTTGACGTCTACCCAATAGGATGTTCTTGCCCCCAACACCACTATATTGATAGTGTTATTTATCCTTTTAACAGTAGTAAGAGTGCCGACTACATAGGGAGAACAACCCAACGTTTAGATGCTAGAATACAGCAGCATATGCCTAGAAAAATCAGGAACGTAACATTCCAACGAAAGGACGTTCTGAACAACTCATGGTTCCTCCTTCGCGGAGCGTCTTATTAAAAACCCAAATTGGGAAGCTAACTTTAGCACTGACTCGTTTACAGTCATGCTCGCTCTCTATTGCAGATAAAGGTGTTGGAAAGAATTTATGTTCAGTCCAGACAGCCCTCACTCTGTAAACAAAGGGAGTTAGTAGTTAGGACTAAACGTGATTTCTATTTAAATTATATTCCGCCTTCATTAATATTACATATCGTCTTTATATTGTATTTTCTTGCAATATATAATCTCTGGCTCTAGCTGTGTCGAGTGAGGACGAAACCGATCGACTGTGTTTGTTTCATTTTTTGCTTTTCTTTTTAATCATAAAAAGTAAAATAAGTCTAGCTGTTTTTACTGCTATAATAAAATTCTGTACCCGCTAAAATTATAATATATATATATATGTGTGTGTGTGTGTGTGTGTGTGTGTGTGGATACATTTTTTTGATCTGTTGTTTTTATAGATATATAAAAAATATTTAAGTAAAGGCTTTGTTTATTTATATGAACAGTAATAACATTGATATGGCCTGAATACTGGATAATAAACAGAGCATTTCCTTAAATATTTCCTAAAAAAACAACGTATAAACATAAAATAATGTCTTAAATAAACCGAGACCATTTATGGATATAATATATATATATATAAGAGAGATTGTCTCTGATTACTGTCCCAAATTAGAGTTCAGTTAACTCTGAACTAACTGTTAGACCAAACTTCGGATATAAGAGAAACCCGGATATAAGAGAGATTGTCTCTGGTCGCCGAAAAGTCTCCCAAACCTGGGATAATCGGATATAAGGCCCTAGACCAAACCCGGATATACGAGGTTCAAAAGATGGATTTTTTTGGCCCCCAAACGGGCTCGGAATACGATTAAAAGAGCCTTCGGATATCCACCCGGTCCCGACAACTCTCTTATATCCACTGTGTAAGTATTCGCATACACCACATTATATACCCAATTTCACACTTAACGACTTACCCTAATCGTTGTCGCTTACTTACGAGGAAGTGTAAAAAAAAATTAATTAAAAATCAGTCGATCTGTGGTCATTATTGTTTTTTCTTTCTTCAGAATGAATATAAAATACAGAAAATGAATAAATAAAGTGAAGAATTCAAATAGATTATATCCCAACGTATTTACAAAATGAAAATCGAACGTATAGAATATAGAACTGGTTACGTTTACTGTTCATTACCCTCCAGTATACAAACCAGTAAGAGAAAGATATAAGAGAATGTACAGAATATAGCCATGAATTTTGTACATTTAGTAGATAACCTGTTCAACCCCACAGTGCACCAGCCGTGTTTTTTGTTTTATCGATGATATAGCTGATTTTTACGTCCTATAAGAGAGATTGGTTTATACTGTTCAGTATAAACATTTAAAATAAAGGTTGATGTTTGAAAATTGAGCAAAACTCCTCCGGTGACATTAAAGATTTCTTAAACTGGTTCACACAAACCTATTACACACGTTGTATGCCTGAAATATTAGGCAAGTAACGTTTTAACGACTTTTTTTTATCATTCGTTTAAAGCATATTGTAATCATTAAAGTAATACCTGATGTAACAGTATAGCCTGTAAGATGTTATGAATATTGTTGCGGGAGGGCTGTACGTTGGTGTTTTACTTGGGAAACACGTGTCTCCTGGAATGTTTATCCCACAACAAAAATGGCGGATATGCATGTGTGAGTCCGGATAATAAAATACAAAGAACCAACTAAAAACAATATATATATATATACAAACAAAAGATAATGTATTATTAAAAAGACCAAAAGTTATATTGTTGTGAGCGACAAAGACAATGATCTTGTATGTATTTGACAAAACAACGAACATGCATGAAAATATTTAAAGACCAGTAAATTTTTCGTATATATAAAATGTGTGTAGAAATCCTAGAGAAAACGAAGTTGCGTATTACGTGTGTGTGTGCATTTGTGCGTACTTTTCCCAACGGAAAATGCGTTTTTACGATAGAACTACATCCTGGCACGTTTAAGGAAAATATGAGAATGACTGAGAATGTTACTGCCTATTTATAGGCTCAGAAAGCATCCTCTAGTGGCAGTTTATTTTGTGAGTAAAGTAAGTGGGGTAACTCCACAAAGGGACTGGGAAGTAATTTTTTACTCTTTACTATCTCTATTGGTCTTTGTTCTGCTAATCGTTCGTACAAACTCATTAATCAGGTCATTTTTTGTTTCCCACTTGCTTGTCTTGCCTTTAATATCTTTTGTGCATGTAACATTTTATATGTCTTCTTTTCTCAATAAGAATCCTAAGAATTTCAAATATCTCTTTCTGATTGTATGTATAAGATTCTTTATTGCTTCTGTTTTCCTTAAAACTTCTTCATTGCTCACATGTTCTGTCCATGTTATTCTTAGCATTCAAGTGAGAGCAAAATTCAAAATATAAACAACTCGAAATGTTCACAGCACTCATAAATCATTGTGTTTAGGTAGAAAACATGTGTCTCCTGGAATGTTTGTCCCACAACAAAAATGGCGGACTTGCATGTATGAGACCGGGTAATAAAATAAAAAGAAACAACTAAAACAAATATATGTATATACAAACGATAATGTATTATTAAGACAAAAGGTTACATTGTTGCCAGCGACAATGATCTTGTATGTATGTGACGAAACAATGAACATGCATGAAAACATTTAAATCTAATGAATTCTTCGTGTATATAAAATGTGTGTAGAAATCCTAGAGAAAATGAAGTTGCGTACGTATGCGTGTGTGTGCGTTTCCCAATGTGAAACGCGTTTTAACGATAGAGCTACATCCTAACGTGTCTAAGGAAAATAGGAAAAAGTGCTGGCTCGCGTACGGGCTTTTCTCCGCATTCGACCTACATCCTAGCTTCCCCGTGGGAAATAGGAAGAAGAGGTATTTAGCGACCCCCCCACAAGGGTTACATGTGGCACAGGGCCGGGTTTAATGTGGGATTTTCGAGACTGTAGGCTCGGCCAAAAATATACCCTCTTTGAACCAGCATAAACGAGTTCAGGGGCAAGTCAACCCCACCCCACGAACGAGACTCTGCCCTTCTGAAATAGAAAGAAGAGAATGATAGAAAATGTTACTACCTATCTATAGGCTTTGAAAGCGTCATCTAGCGACGTTTTTTTAAAGAAAGTAAGTGGGGGTAACACCACAATGTACGCTTTTGCGTTCATCCTCCATCTTGTGAAAGAGGCAACAGGCACAAATAGTTAGGAAATTGAAAAATGTCTTTTATTAATTTTATTTGGCGTGGAAAAGTATTTCTGAAAAATTAATGCAATGATTTTCTTTTTTTTTTTTTTTTGCAGCTGTAGATGCCACTTATTTGACTGATCGCGTTAAAGGAATAATTGCAGGAATCAAATTACCATTCTCCACAGAAAATCCTAATGGTTGCCAAGACAAAGGTATCACGTGCCCTTTAAAGAAAGGACGAAAATACACATACAAGAGCGTAATTCCAGTATCTAATCTGTATCCCTCGGTAAGTAGAAATCTCCTGGGTCAAGTTAAGTTCGGCATAAGGACACTTTTCTGCAGTACTCATCTAGCAGTAATATTGTACCATTTGTACAACTCAAGAATTTGCCTGGCTCCTTCTGAGCCATACTTTATATCTTTACAAGACTAAACGAAAAAACAGAATATTACAGGGCTGAAGTTGCTGAATCCTCATTTTCCCATCTTGATAGAGTTCAAAATCGTTTATGTGCTCTTATAGAGGAGGACGTATTTTCCATTCTACAGCCTCTTTCCTCACAGACTTAAAATTGTAAGCTTATCGCTTCTCTATCGTTATTTCCATGACCCCAGACAGCTTTTTCCAAATAATGAATGCTTCCTTGAACACTCTTAATCACTTCAAGTCAAAGTTCATTCGCTACCTATGCACCTATTCTTCATCATCTTCCGTTCTTTCTATTTCTTCTTATATTCATATCATACACCTCATTTGGTAACCCTCTCCCATGAGTAATCCTCGAGATTCTATCGGGTGAAATATACATATATATACTAGAAGCATGGCCCGGCGTTGCCCGTGCTTGATTCAAAAATCGTACGACTCATACAGCAATCGCTATCACTTGACTTAAAATATTTTTGCCCTTCCTTGCCTTTAAAGGAGTGCCCTTTTCCGTGCTGATGTTGCTACATACCTTACTTCTTGCCTATCTCACACTGCCAATTTTTTCTAAGCGCTATACTAAACATTAAATCTATTACGAAAAAAAAAAAAAACTAAACAAAATGAATACAAAACGATCAGCTTTAAAAAAGGACTCATAACTGGAAAAATCGAATGAAAAAAGAATGTTAACAACAAATACTTTTTCACACCCAACCCAGTTCTGCGGAATCAGAATCAACGTTGAGTTTAAGCAAGCGAATGAGCCAATTGGAGTAAAGTACCATGCAGATTTAAACTTTTCCCACTTGTGACGAATGCAGCTATCGATTTTTTTTTTGCATGCTAGTTAACATTCGTGTCAGTCAGCTGTTGGCTCTCACGCTGGCCAATAGAATCTTCTTGCCTATTCATGGCAGCCAGCTTATAGGCTCTCACCTGGCCAGCAAAAAAATGGGCCACAAACTAGATGAAAACTGCCGCAGAAGCATGAAAAATCGATTATTTCCACTATCGATGGGAGTTGGGAAGTGCAAAGTCGGTCTTGTCCTTGTCGCTAACTTGGAGCATGTGCATGTAAATTTTGGTGCAAATCTGTCGAAAATTGCAACCGAGCATTCGTTACACACACACACACACACACACACACACACACATACTGCCTTTTATAGATAGAGATAAATAAGTTACGTGTGCACGTTAATTGTCGCGGTCTTAAGTAGAATATGTTGAACTAAAATAATTCGTCATCAGGCAAAACTAACTTCTGTTTTTACTCATACGGCCTACGAACTACTTCCTAATCAAAGGCTGTATCGTTAAAAATAGATTAGTATTGCGACAGTGTTTATTCTGCTAAGGAATTCTTACGTTCCAAAAGTATTATTAGCTGTGAAATTCCTCGCTGTGGCATTTTTTTTCATAAGAATTTCACCCCAAGCAAGGCTGGAAGCCACTAGCACGCAAGGGGTTACATAGGATTTGGAGCGAGAGCAAATAGGAGTGATAGCGGAAAGGATGAGGAGAAGTATAGTGGATAGATCAAAGCAACTGGAGATGTCGATTGATATTACATTTGAATAGTTGGAGATTAGAGCTTTCAGGGAAACAAGAAAAGGGAAGGGAGTTCCACAGGCGAGAGGTGCGAGATATGAAGCTATTGGAGTAGAAGAGACGGCTACATTTAACAATTTCGACAGTGAAAGGGTGAGAGAGGTAGGCCAGCTTCGTAGGACGCTTGAATTCATGAAGCCTGGGAACCAGCGAAAGCAGCTCATCGGAGCAATTACCATGAAAGTATTTGTAAAAAAGAAAAGACAGAGAGAGGCAACGGCACGTCTGTGAGAGAGCGACTGCAGATGAGATGCCAGATCAGGACCAATTGCATTGCATATCCATCTCCGGATCTTATCAACCCCGAGGCAAACAGAAAGGGCTCCAGACCATATATGGCAGCAATACACCATGCAGGGGCGAATGGTTGATTTGTAGATTTGAAGGATCGAGAAAAATTTCCTATCGCGGCACAGGGAGCCAACTTTCCTTGCGGTGGACGAAGCAATTGACTCAATGTATTTGTTCCATCTTAGGTCAGCAGACAATGTGAGATCGAGCAGCCGCAAAGAGGTACCCTTGAGAAGTTGAGCGTCGGACATTCTAAGGGGGGGGTCAGGGAAAGATCTCTGTGGTGATTAATAGAGAACAGTTTTGTTTTGGGGGCGTTAAAGTTAACCATCCAATTCCTGCCCCAGATCACAACCGATTGGAGGTCCTTTTCGAGACGAACGGCCAGGTTAGTCTGAATGTGATAAAAAAAATTGTGACGAGATTATCAAAGATATGAAGTAACTAACTACCTGACAAATCGCGTGTTAAAAACACAGAAAGAAATTGTAGATCATAAGAAGAAGGTGAAAAAGCGACACCGATAAAAAGATTAGATCAACAAATAGACAAAAAAAAAGCTGAATACACCGTCTTAATTTAACAAACAAGTGTTCCATAGTCGCTAAAAGCCTTGTAGCTCACGCTGGTGTTTGGGTGAGTTACGGTCATCGCTTTGCAGTGGGCCTAATCGGCAATCTTGAGGCCAATATCCCAAAGCCCCACCGTTTTGATTTCTCAATGAAAATCAAAAGCCATTTCCCCCGTGCAGAAGGTTTGCTTGTTATGATAAATAGCAAGATGTGTAGAGTATTTATAAACTAGTGATGGCCAATATAGTGTATCAATTTCACTGCCCAGTACAAGTATTTTTTTTTTCACAAATCAGTTGTTCATTTGTCTATATCGGATATACTACCACCTCCTTGAGTAGACGACTCACCTGTCACTAATCAGATCAAAGTGCTATAAAAACATCTATCAATTCACGATTTACAAGAACCCTTAAGAAAAATTCTGTTCGAAAACACTAAAATTCTATATAAATCACATTACCGGAAATATCTCGCTATTAGAGAGGCTCTGTATATGAAACATTTCTCTCCTACTATCAACCTGACATTATTTAACAATGGAAATAGTGTTAAAAGTTTCTTTTTAAATGAATAGGAAGATGCACAGGTGAATTCCAGCCGCGCTCCACATGCGAAAGCTCGGAATAAACGCTCCAATTCAAAACAACACAAAAATAAAATACAAATTAAACAGTCAAAACATGAGGAAAAACAAACAACACCAAAAGCAAAACCCACTTGAAAATGGCTAAAGAAGTGAACGAAAACGCTTCGGATAATGAAAATTATTTAAAGTTTCTGTGCTCATTTACTTCTACCAAACGGAAAAAACTTAAGGATGATGGAAAAGCTGAATAAAAATTAATTAAATCTACCTTGTCTGCCAAATTTGACGAAATACGTTTAAACGAAAGGTTGCTACACAAATACATACATACATATATATATATATATACATATATATATATATATATATATGTATGTGTGTGTGTGTGTGTGTGTGTGTGTGTGTGTGTGTGTGTGTGTGTGTGTGAGACAGAGAGCGAGATTATGTCAGGATGCAGGCATTTAAGTAAATAATTTTAGGTTCCTATGAACTGCGATGAGGGAAATAAAATAATTTTTTTTCCTCATCTGCAATTCCCACTCCCCGCTTTTTCTCACTTACAATGTTTTTCCCTTGGGCACCTCGGCGTTGAGTTATGGTTAGCAAGCTTGTCTTGCTAGATCAGTTACTACTGAAAAGTGAGTTCGATCCTCACTGGATGCCCCATACTTTCGGCCTTGTGCCACATCTGAGCTACGCTTGGAAAATCTCTACAATGTTTTCCCTTCTCTCTCGCCTTACCCCTATCCCCATACTTTTAAACCCTTACATCCAGTTTTCTGCTATATTGGAGTAGTTTCCTTTGGCTTATACATCTTTCCACTTGCCTGAGGTGACCTTACGGTCGAAACTCGGGTTGCGTGGTTAGTTGGCACTAGCATTTTCTTATATATATATATATATATATATATAGAGAGAGAGAGAGAGAGAGAATACGGTGTCCTCTCTCCTTCATGCGCATGTGTAGTCACATCAACGTAAACATCAGTTTAGTCCAATGAATTCCTAAAAACGAAACGCTTTTATTAAAATTCCCACTTTGTCATTTATTTTCCTTACATATATATATATATATATATATATATATATATATATATATATATATATACAAATAAGGAAAATCAATGACAAAGTGGAAATTTTAAAGAAAATCTTTAAAATATTCTGCCTGAAGAGATGAATATAACAATATACATGAAATAAATTATAAACGAAAAAGATTTTTAAGGTTTTTTCTTAATTTATCCTTACACACACACACACACACACACATACACATACATACATACATACATACATATATATATCCTTGTAAGCATATATATATATATATATATATATATATATATATATATATATGCTTACAAGGATAGCGCTGAAATTTCTTGAAACAATCCTACAAGAAACTCATAGAAAAAAATTCTGTTTGAATTACTAATTACAGGAACGGTATCAGGCCTGGAGCTTTTGAACACCTCGTCATATATATGTTCAGATCTATTTGTTAACTTCCAGTTACCTCATGTAACTACTTCCATCTATCTATCTATCTATCTATCTATCTATCTATCTATCTATCTATCTTCCCTATTCTCTGTCTATTCATATCTATCTATCTATGTATCCTATTTTCTGTCTATTCATATCTATCTATATATATATATGTATCCTCTTCTCTGTCTGTTCATATCTATCTATCTATCTATCTATCCTATTCTGTCTATTCATATCTCTCTCTCTATATATATATATATGTATGTAATCTATTCTCTGTCTGTTCATATTCTATCTATCTATCTATCTATCTATCTATCTATCTATCCTATTCCCTGTCTGTTAATATCTATCATCTATCTATCTATCTATCTATCTATCTATCTATCTATCTATCTATCCTATTCCCTGTCTGTTAATATCTATCTATCTCTCTATCTATCTTCTTCTCTGTCTGTTCATATCTATCTATCTATGTTTTCATATCTAACTTTGTTCATATTTTAATCCGTTCATTTGTTCATATCGACTGTTTATATATTTATCTATTTATTACAGCTTCGTCTGATTGTTGAATGGGCACTTATCGATCAAAACGACGCCGAAGTCTTCTGTGTAAGAATCCCGGCCCAAATAAAGGCCCTTATCCTGTAGGAGTCATCCAAACCAAGTCAGCAGTCATATAATCAATCAACGTCTGAGAAGGCAACACGTGATCTGTCCTCACTCCAGCAAGTCGCGGCAGGAACTGAACGCTCTCATGAATGTTAACGACTTGAATAACAATAATAATTCTGTTGTTTAATTCTGTTGGTTAATCTGGCTTTATACGTGCTAAGGAGATTAGCGGAGTTGTTACATTGGTGTTTAACATGTGTTTTCGTTACGCACACATAATCTGTAAATAATAATAAATAAGAGAATATTTGTGACTGTCTCCTTTCTTCCGGTTTTTTTCTTGATAAATCTATTATCATTTATATATCTTTTTTTTTTTATTCGTGGGAAATATTACGTTTGCTGCAAGGTAAGTATTAATCGACGTCGTCCTATAAATCATTTAGAAACTAAGGTTAAAACCTGTCTGGTTTTTATGCATATCATCAGGGTCGGGGGTATTACCCATGAACCCCCGGGCAGTGCTTAGTGACTAATGCTATCGTATCAACATTTATTTTTTCCTATTTAAATTTATATACGTTACTAATTAAACTAAGCACAACTGACTATTAAAGGATGAAATATTTTTGGCGGGTATTGACGTAATTCTGGGGTCTTTTTTGTCCAAATCCGTGAATTTATTTTGCTCATGCTAAGTGTCAAGAAAAAAAAAAAAACTATATAAAAATTACTATTTTTTTAAATCTAAAAATGAATGTGTTCACATTATTCAAATTTTTAACAAGAAAAATCTCAAGTTGAAGTTGTCTTTTCCGGTTTACAAGACACACTTTTTTCTTAAAAAATACCCTGAAAAAAACGTGTGCGTCTTCCAAGACGAATGTAAGGCCATGCCTAGGCTCAAGTAAACTTGGACGGTCACCAAGTTGGTTTGACTATTAGTGATGTGAATTTGTATGTTGAGTCATTACACTATAATATTAGCTATCTAATTCAACCTTTTATATGATGTAATCTCAGTACTTAGCTGTTACAAGTATTTCCAAGACTATAAACCTTCCCGGAGCCAAGCCACAATCTTAAACATGCTCTGTTTACTAGCAGTTGCGAGAGACTTTCTGCTCTTGGATAGTATGTCATTTCCATACAAACAAAATCGGACAAGTGATTAATATACACAATATCTGGCGCCAGTATTTGAGGGACGCATGGTGAATGTGTTGTTGTATGAGAATGATTTTTTTTTCTTAGAATTTTCTTTCCGATATTAGGGTGCATCTTCCAAGCCGCAGCGTCTTATAAGCCGGAAAATACGGTAATTAATGTATGTTATTATCAATAATTACATGTGCAAGAATGTCGTTTTCGATAAAAGTTAAAAAATAACCATAAATACTTAAAAATGCGTATATTGTCGAAAATTCCTTTTTCCACAATTTATGCTGTGTTATAGTGCTTATTACCTAAACAATAATAATACTGAATAATTTTTTTAAAATGTTAAAATATATTTGATCACATCTCCCTAATAGCTATTACGATCTCAAGAAGAAAATACCAAAGACCTATTTTAAGCAGAGATAAATTGCTTGGGCCTAATATTGTGCAAGTTATTCGCACACCAATCTCCATTCAATCCCCTTGACTATCATCGACCTCTTGGAACTCCTCACCGACCCCTAAGGGTGGTTCGAACCCCGTTTCACGACACCGATTCAAAAAAAAAAAAAATTAAAATTAAACTTGGAGTTTCAGCGTGATACACTCCTTCGTGCGCGTGCATGATCGCACCAGTGTAGGCGTCGCTTTTTCTGATGTGGTCCTTGGAAATCGAGAGGACTTTTTTTTCCCCCACTTAGTCATAGATTTCCCTAAAATTGTAAAGTATAGGGATAGTGTAATAATTACTCTGTAATAAATTCGTCTATTTCACATACCGGCAAACATTATTGAAAACTTTACTTTTTGACTACAAACCAACTGTTCGCTGAGTATCTTGACAATTAGACTCCCAACCCCAGATGAATTCTGTGCAACAGCTGTTACACTCTGGTCATGTGTTAAAAAATTCTTCAGATTCGCTAAAAAATGTGCATGTGATGAAAAAATGCCCCAAATTTAATAAAAACTAAGTTTATCATCAAAGCATTTTTTGATTATTAAATTATTTTCTTTAATTCTTTTTAGCTTTGCGTAAAAATTGAGTCGAATGCGTAGAGTGATTTTCAAGAGACGAGACGTCTTTTATATTCATTTTGCAAACAGCCGCTGGATGACGGTCAGGTGACCTCCTGTCTTTCCTTAAGAAGGGAAGAGTTAAATCCAGTGGTCTTTACTCTCTTCATACAGTTATTTCTGATATTTATGTTGGCTATAAAGAAAGCGAGAAAAAAGGACTCATCATCAACCGCAAGCAAAGAAAAGTATGGTTATTAGCAAGAGAAAAATCCCAAGAGAAATTTGAAAAAGGTGGCAACCAGTTTAGGACTACTTTAAATTCAAAAGTATGTCAAAGGTATGGCGTGCCCAAATATAAAAAAATAAAATATTAAAAGAAAATTAAAATAAGCCATTTGCTTTCCTTAAAAAAACCTACCTCTCTTTTTCAATCTCTTTCTATACTTCTCTCTAAACTAAAGGGAAGACAACTCATATAAAAGAGGAAGAAGAAAAAAAGACTGCTGCGAAACGGAAGTTCACTAGTCCAAGGTTTAGCTAGTGTGACTAAAAATCTACCAAAACAAAAAAGCTCTACCTATAAATTCCGTTAAAGAAAAAGAAAGGAACGCCGGAAAATGAATAAAATAATATTGACCAATCAAAAGACCAAAGAGACTTTTGATGTTAGCCGAAATCAACCTTCGCGCCAAGTAGTATGAAGCATACTATAAAAAAACAGCCGACAGACAGCAGAGAGGAGACAACCAGAAACCCGCCCGAGCATGTCACGTGAAAAACTAATCGGTCATCGGATTAAGACATTTTCCGTCGACATAGCAGTTTGGGGCCGCAACATGTTTCCAAAGTAACCACCACACTCCCGACAGCTGCCAACAAGATGGCGACTGCTATCAAAGTCTGACTCGTAAACTATAAAATACCAAGCTGCACAAACTTTCGCCAACAAGATTTATAAAGAATTCGCTCCAATTGAACTCGATTAAATAAACAGGTCCTTCTGGCATCACGTCTAAAGTCACTTTCTCACAGACGTGCTGTGGCTTCCCTCTGTCTTTTCGACAAATATTTTCATCGCAACTGCTTTGACAAGCTACTTTCACTGGTACCCAAACTTCATGAATTTAAGCGCGCTACTGGGTTGGCATTTCGGTCCCACGCTTTCACTGTCGAAACAGTTAAATGTAACCGCCTCTTCTACTCCAACAGATTCTTTTCTCGCACTTCCCGACAGTGGAACTCCCTTCCTCTTACTTGCTTCCCTGATAGCTGTAATCTTCAAATATTCAAATGTAATGTCAATAGACATCTTCTGATGTCTTAATCTTGATCTCCGTCCTTCTCTTTATATTTTCCTCAAACACCCCTCTTTACTCTTGCTCTCACTCTCTGTAACCCCTTACATGCTAGTGGCACTCCCGCCTTGCTTGGGGTGATATTGTTAAAAAAAAAATGAAATATCCTCGATTCTGGTCCGTTATTTCGAAGAGTTCCAAATTTTCGGATAAATATTTCTAAGGGCCGCTGGCGCTTCTCTACAAGGTCAATGAGAAATCACTTAACTGTATTTTTCAAAACGTTATAGCTATTTACTCTTTGTTAAGACTCGTTTCTTTGGCATAATTCTCTGGCTTTAATAGTACGGTGTTTATGTAGCGTATTTTTATTATCAAATTCGCCCTACAGTTATGGCCTTGAGTCAGAACATTTTAACAAGTTGTACGTCATTTATCCCGTTATCTGTGATTTGGCAAACTCCCACGTTTTTAATCTATAGTTGTGATTTTGTGGTGGCCTTGTGGCATTTTTCCCACCCTGAACATAAAACATCTCTTAAAACCTGCTAAGCAGCGTTTCAAGAACTGTGAATAAGGAAAGGACTCAAGCATTTTTTCTCTTCTTTGTTCTCTTTGTCCACAGGATGCGGTAACAAAAGGCTGCTTGTCAGTTTCCTCTGTTTCGAAAATTCTTTTTACACAAGGCGAACTAACTGTACTAGTAACGACCGGTCGCTCAACAACAAAAACAAAACAAAAACAAGCCCACCTTGCTGATGAAAGCCGTCATTTCACTAAAGGAAGAAAATAGGCTTCAGTTTTTTTTTTGCGCAAGAATTTCTCCGGAAGTCGTCTTTTAGTCACGCGGAGAAATTATCAACCAATTAATGTGAGTTTTACAAAATTATCAACCAATTAATGTGAGTTTTACAAAATTTGACTTTATATGACTTTCATTTGATTTCGATTTTGCTTTTAATTCTTGTTTTGTACAGATTTTGCCCAACAGAAAATTTTGAATAGAAACGGTTAATCTTTGGCACTTATTTCCTTCCAAGTTGCTGCTGATCCAATTTTATCAGTATATCGAGTTTTTAAACATTCTCTTTAGAAAAGGTCTTTAAAATAAAATGTTTTTTTTATTTTAATTTTTCAAATATCTTCTATATAATAAATGAGAACGTCAGTGTGTCACACTTTTTCAACTGTACTCCAAGATGCTGTAGTCCAACATATACCAATTTGGAATCAAGCCGATTCCGTGAACAAATTAAAAGCATTCCCAGATGGATCCGAACCGACATCTTGAAATTTTGGATTCTCAAGTTTTCATTACTTCGCTTGTTTTCAAATTACACCATCTTGGCTTCTACTGATAAAAACAATGAAAGGGACACAATTCCCTGACTTTCAATAGCTCATGTTCAAATG